TGTCGGTGTACTGAACTATCATGCCTATTTATACTAAAGATATTTTGCATACCTTCTTGAAATACGAGATCACAGCAAGAAGGAAGCTATATTTACCGTGAGTAGCGCGCTCTCTTGCTCTCAAACGTTCTGTGTAAAGGCATTCGTTTTTTTCGCTTTCTCGCTCTTTGTAGTATATCTCTTTTCACTGTCCAGTAATAGTCAGCCATCATATTTACATTCCACCTTCCTTGATATCGACATTCCATTTCTCTGATATCTTGATGGAATCGTTCTCCTTGCTCTTCGCTATAATCACCGAGATTTTCTGGGAACCAATCGAGATGCGAATCCAAGAAATGTATCTTCAAATTCATCAGACATCCTAATTCCTTAAAGTTTTCAATCATTTTTCCCACCAATTCCTTATAATCTGGATTTCTGTGATTTCTTAAAAAATTTCCGACAACGTTTTTGAAATTAAGCCATGCTTCTTTTTCGATATCATTCATTTTTGTAGCAAAGATCCCATCTTTTAACTATGTATGAATCTGAGGGCCGTTGAATATTCCTTCCTTCAATTTAGCGTCAGAGATGTTAGGAAACGTTTGTCCTATGTAGCGAAAACAATCACCTTCTTTGTTTAAAACATTTACGTATTGCTTCATTAAACCAAGTTTTATATGGAGAGGCGGAAGTAAAACTTTTGATTTGTCAATCAACGATTCCTTGATTATCTTCATGGATCCAGGTTTCATTGTGTTCCTTTCTGGCCATATTTTTATCCTCTTTTAGAGCAGTTGTCATCGCCCGTACTGTTCATCATGTCAGCAGATTCAGTACTCAAGTAGCAAACTAATGTCACCAAAAAACGTCAAAATGATGTCATTTTGCTACCTGGGTAGTTTCTATCCAAACATGACTTCATCATGTAATGGATGCAAGAAGTATTCAACTTCTTATAGATCGGAAAAATAAGTAAACATAAACACAAGATCATTGTGTTTTTTACGGCACGAAGACAATCGATGGTCCATTTTTTATTCATCGCATCTAAGTAAAGAGTGCACTATTTACAGTAAATATAGCTTCCTTCTTGCTGTGATCTCGTATTTCAAGAAGGTATGCAAAGTATCTCATAGTATAAATAGGTATGATAGTTCAATACACCAATATATATCATCGGCATAACGTTTCCATTAAATTTCAGCCGAGAGTTGATTTTTCCATATAAAGTCGAATTTACCCCGAAATTTCATATATTTTGAGGTTATAAAAAATTGGGATCTGATGGAGTTAAACGGACCTCGGATTTTGATTCAGAACACCAACAAATCAAGGAGTAGGGGGGTCTCTCGGACATACCACTTTTGTTTTTTTGTGTAACAGTGTTATTATTATATTATATAGATCAATCAGCTCTACCGACAATATTGCAGTTTCTATCATGGCTCTTGGCGAAGGCTGGCACAATTATCATCATATTTTCCCTTGGGATTACAAAACAGCGGAATTTGGAAATTATGGGTTGAATTTTACCACAGCATTTATCGACTTCTTTGTTTATTTAGGTTTAGCTTACGATTTAAAAACTGCATCCGCCGACATGATAAAAAAACGTTCTCTTCAAAGCAATGAAAATAAGAGTTACTAACTAATCGTGCAAAATTAAAGGATCCCTCGACTGTCTATATTAGTAACAAAATTACGATTTTCATATTTCTAGTCTTTTGTTGCATTAATTTGACAGAATTAAAAATCCTTCTTCAAGATTGCAATACATATCAACGATCCCAAGAAACTCCAATTTTATATGAAAAACGAGAAATGAATACGAAATTACAGTTTTTCTTATCTATTTATATCTTAGTATGGCGTTTTGAATTGCAAATAAACTGTCAACTCATAATGTGTTTTATGATTTCCACGTTAGATCCGCATTGATCCTCTTTTTTTCTACCTCTTAGCTTCTTTTTCTTCTCCATCACCTTCCATTTTTGTTCCTCTTTCTCCAATTCTATCATCACTATCTCCTTTTCTTTCTTTCTGTCCTTTCCTATTTTCCTTATTTTCATTATTCTTACCTTCGCCTCTATCTCCTCCAGCAATTTCTCTGCCCCCTCTCTTCTTTTCTCTTAACTTCCAATCCTTTTATGACTGTTCTTCCTCCTTTTCTCTTTTTCCATTATCTCTAACCTCCTTTCCATATCCCCTACTCTTTTTTCCATTTCTTTTTCTATGGGTCCCTCCTCCTCTTTCTTACCCTCCCTCCAATTCGCCATCTTTTTCTCCAGCCCTTCCACTCTCCTCTTCATTCCTTCTATATTCTCTTTTAATTCTTTCTCTTCTCTCCATTTTTCCATTTGCTCTCTGTAGTCTCTTCTTAGCTCCTCCATCTCTCCTCTTATCCTCTCCTCCTGCTTTTTTATTTTTTCATTCAATTTCCCCATCATCTCTTTCACTTCCTGCCACATATCTTGAATTAGTCTCTTTATCTCCCTTTCCTCATCCCTTCCTTTCTCTGGTGATCTCACTATTTTATTATTTTTTTAAAAGCCTTCACGCCCTCCTTTCTGTGCTCTTTTCCTCCAGCTCCCTTTTTCTTTTCAATAAATTCTTTATACTTTCTAAGCTACCACTTCTTTCTTTTCTTTTCTTACCGTTCACTCCTTCCTCCCCACACAGCACATGTAGATTAGGAAAATGTTCTGAGAATATCGTTAAAGTATATTGAGTATATTCTAAGAATATTCGAAATATGTACTACGATATCAAGTATATACTGAGAAAGTTCCTATGTCTCACTAGTTTGCTTCTCAGTACATACTGAAAATATCTTATAGTATATTCTGAGAATATTTTTAGTAAATTATAAGATATTACACATATAAAAAGCTAATAAGCGCAGAAATAATATCACGGTTATAAAAACTAGTTTATTACATTTAATCAATATGTACTGATATAAACAATAAAGTTTAAATTAATCTAAAATTATAAAAATAAACTCGAAAGTTAAAACAAATGAGTAAGCGAACGTTTTGATCCAATTTTTCGGATCTTCTTCAGCGCAGTACAAAAAGCAAAATTAAAATCACCAAAGTCTAAATATTTTTGACGTATAAACGTCTAATAAACATATTTAAACGCGGTTACATCAGTAAACGAAATAAAACGTCGTAAGATTAACATTAATATGACTCTCACTGAGCCATCACATTTACGTTACTGTGAGAAGCGATCTTCTCTAGTTTTCTGACTAAAACGAGGTTGGCAGGTGTTAAAATATAAAATATTAATCGCATCCTATAAATCAAAATAATGTTCTCATTACACCTCACTAATTATAATATCCAAAATCAAGTGCGTTATAAAACAATAATCTAACACATGGTATAAAAAAATGCTAATAAAAACTTACATATATTTATGATGTGACAATATTTTAATTGTAACAGTAACAAAAGTGACGCTAGTGTAATCCTCATGTCAGTAGAACGGCTCAGAGGAAGCTGAAGCTCAGTTGGAAACGAAAAATTACAAACAATTATAATCATTTTGTATTTGTTATTTAATCTTAGAATTTAGGTAGTCTCTCTATAGCTTCGATATAAATATCAGATAGATTTTCAGTATTAGTCTGTAGATTGAGACTATTATTTTGTCTTTTTATGTATATCATTTCTGATACTGATCTTTTTCCGTAATATATTTCTTTATCTAAAATATTAATGTTCTTCCAATCAAATTCATGATTAAAATTAACGCGGTGGTCCGTTATTACTGATTTAGTATTAATATTTCTAACTATGTGTTTCTTATGTTCAGAAATTCTTGTGGTCAGTCTTCTATTAGTCTGGCCCACGTAAGAAGCGTCGCAGTTTGAACAATTAATTTTGTAAATAACGTTGGTATTATTCAAGATGTAAAAATCTCTGAAGTCACCAGATGATAATTAAAAATGGTAGTAATTTAATCAACCAACTCTGGCTATTTAATAATCTTTATTTAATATTTACGACGTTTCGGCCATGGGTTTCGGCCCTTATCAAGTGCTAAAACACAACTTTTTATATAGAAACTTAATTTCTGATCTTAAAATGTGACATGATATAATGTGAAACATTTAACTATGTTGGTATTATTCATTTTAGAAATAGTATCTTTATGTACTCGTATATATTTATTTAATTTATTAAAATTAAAAAAAAATAATTTAAAATTTATGTTTCTAATAATATTTCTAAATTGTTCCGTCAAACCGGGTAAAAACGGTATAGTGAAAAAATGTCTTTTAAAAAAGACGTTTTTTTACTATTATTATTATTAATTGTGGTATTTTTTAATTTTTTAAATAAAATTACTAGACGTTGGTTAATAGTATTAAAGATCAAGTCACACACAAGCGGATAACAGTTCTCTAAAAGTATGTTGACAACGGTAACGAGATTCTTATTGTTCGCGAACGCGCTGCGTGAGAGAGGATCGCGCGACACAATAGGATAAGTCACCCTTCTTTTGTATTAAAAAAAGTTTAATTTCAATACACACTTAATTACAAATTACTTGAACAAGACTTATAACATTTAAATATTTCAGTGAAAGTATAATCGAGAACAAAGTGCGGAATAAGCGGCGGTCGTCAACAAGATTTTAGCGGATCAAAATAATATGCGGTTTTGCGTTATGCGGTCACTGCGGAAAGCGATAAGGCCCCGATTTCGGGCGCGAGCTCTCTCTTATGGGTTTCCGAAGAAAACCCACTTTTTCGGAAAGCGCCAATTATTGCGAGCAATTTGAATTGTGCTCGAGGTGATTCGAGGGCACAGCTCATTATTGGCCGCTTTTCTAAGATGCGCAACGAACTCACGTTTTGCCATGCGCGCGCGGCCGCTCGCTATTTCTAATTGGTGATCGAGGCCGCGTGGCAATTTTGCGCATGCTTGTACCGCGAAAAGTATGCGGTAAAACGGTTGCGAAACTGCTAATTGTTTGTGTGTAAAGAATGTTTTTTTAGATGACAGGTTTAATTTATGACAAGTTTTTTACCGTGACAAACATACAAAACGACCGTGACTTTTGTTATTGACGCGGATGGAAAATTCTAGAATTTACAAAAGTTTTACTTAACATCTCAAACATTCCCGCCCGCCTTGTCGCAACGTGACAAAGATTGGTGGTGGTTCCGGCGCGGATCACATTCCGATAGCGATCGATGGTGGGGCGGGCGCGCCGGCGCGGCGAAATACACGTGGTGATCGCGTGGTGTGAATCGATCAGCTGAGCCGATGAGAGCACGTGGTAAACGCGTGGTGTGAAATAATCAGCTGATCTGGTGACAACGCGTGGTTGATGTGAACGGCGAGTGTGTAATGCAGTGAGCGGTGATAACGAAATAATTTTTTTCTTTTTGTGCGGTGGTGGATGAGATGAGTGACGTGCGACAGATGCTATGATGCATGATGTGATGATTGTGTGACGTTACGAAGTGTCAGCGTGCGGTGTAGGTGCGTCGTTCACGCCCGGGAGGAAAACAAGCTTGACGAGTGGGCGCACAAGCTCGGACGTGGCCGTTTGGATTGACACCACGCGTACAATCCCATCGTCCCCGGGGTGCAGTCGCGATATGCGAGCCAGTGGCCATCGGCTCGGTGGGGTGAGCTCGGAGCGCACGAGACAGAGATCACCGATGTGGGGTGCAGCTTCGTCCTTGAGCCATTTGGTGCGCGAGGCTAGTCCGTGTAAATATTCGGACGACCATCGCTGCCAGAAGTGATCCCTCATCTGCTGCAAATGACGCCAGCGTGACAAGGTGGATACCGTCTGCCCTGTCAATGACAATTCCGGCACAGCAAGTAGCGGCGCCCCGACGAGGAAGTGACCGGGGGTCAACGCCGAGACGTCCTCTGGGTCATCTGAGAGTGCCTGCAATGGACGAGAATTAAGACAAGCTTCGATCTGGGCGAGGAGTGTGCTCAGCTCCTCGAACGTGAGGGTGGTCTCGCCGATCACCCGACGGAGGTGGAACTTGGTCGACTTCACTGCAGCCTCCCAAAGACCACCAAAGTGCGGGGCCGCTGGCGGGTTGAAGTGCCAGCGGATTCCTTGAGCGGTGGCGGCAAGGACGATACGATGACCTTCGGCTGTCGCTGCATCAAAGAGACCTCGCAGCGTACGATCTGCCCCGATGAATGTCGTGCCGCAGTCGCTGTAGATCTCAGCACAGAGGCCCCTGCGGGAGACGAAGCGGTGCAGAGCGGCGATGAAAACCTCGGAGGTGTAGTCGGAGACGACCTCCAAGTGAGTGGCCTTCGACCAGAAACAGACAAAGACTGCGATGTACCCTTTGTGCGCGCGGTGTCCACGTCCCTTGCTGGTCCGAAGGAGGATGGGTCCTGCGTAATCCACGCCGGTGCTGAGGAACGGTCGGGTTGGCGTTACTCGGTCCCGAGGAAGGTTACCCATCTGAGGCTGTGGCGTGGCAGCACGCCATCGAGTGCAGGTAACGCATCGATGTAGCTGCTGCTTGACGGCGGTTCTTCCTCGAGGTACCCAGAAGCGCAGGCGGAGCAGGCCGAGTGTCAGCTGCACACCCCCGTGCAGTGTCCGTCGATGGCAGGAATCGATCACCAGCCGAGTCAGCCAGGATACCGCCGGGATGATCATCGGATGTTTCTCGTCGAGCGGAAGTTGAGAGTTTTTGAGACGTCCTCCGACGCGCAGTACGCCTTGATCGTCGAGGAACGGACTCAACTTCACCAGGTGGCTTCGCGGTGGAGTAGTGCGTCCAGCAGAGGCCGCGGCCACGTCCGTCGGAAAGTGGAGCGCCTGCACCACTCGCAGCCATCGAAACAGCGCGGAGTCCAGCTCGTCAGGCTGCAATGGACGGCCAGGTCTGGCGTCACGTCTCACCGGGTTGAGCCATCGACGACACCACGCAGTGACTCGCAGCAGCCGTTGCAGCGTCGGGAACCGCAGAAGAAGGTCCGGTTCGGTAGTGACTGGCGCCTTGACTACCAGGCTGGTGACTCGTTGCTCAGGGAGGTCATCCTCTGGGTCGTCGATGTCTGCACCAGGCCAGGCAGCCTCGTCTCCTGACAGCCAGGTAGGTCCTGTCCACCACAGTTTATGATTGCGTAAGTCCTCAGGTGTAACACCACGCGATGCACAATCTGCAGGGTTTTCTCGTCCGGCGACGTGTCTCCAATGAGCGTCTGGAAGCAGGGTCTGGATCTGCGACACTCGGTTGGCAACAAAGGTCTTCCAGCGGGTGCAGTGTCCGCGAATCCAGTGAAGAGTGACCTTGGAGTCGGACCACAGGTGCACCGGCGTAGCAGCCAAGCCGAGGGTAGTGCGTACATGCAACATGAGCGTGGTGAGTAATGCGGCGGCACAAAGCTCCAATCGAGGTAACGACACCTGCTTGACTGGTGCGACCTTCGATTTTGCCATCAGCAGATTAATTGATGTCTTCTCTGTTGCAGCGTTGCGGATGTATACGACGGCGGCGTATCCTCGCTCCGATGCATCGGCAAACCCATGGAGCTGCAGTTGCGACTGGTCATCTCCGGTGCTGAGCCAACGATCCACACGGATGTGATCCAGCAACGGAAGTTGATTCAGCAGTTGTCTCCAGCGGTGTGCGTCCTGATCAGGCAGCGGAGAGTCCCAATCCAGCCGTTGAAGCCACGTAGACTGGATCAGAATTTTGGCTCGGATGACGACAGGCGCTAGCCAGCCCATCGGATCGAATAGTCGAGCTGTCTCGGCCAAGACTCGTCTCTTCGTGAGGTCGGTGGTTGAACGCGGACGTATGGTGAAGGAGAACCAATCCCCTTGAGGATGCCATCGAAGACCCAGGGTGGCGTGGCTCTCTCCTTCCCACGAGCGCGGTCCGCGTTGAAGCCGATGTTCCGGCGGAATTCCGGTGAGCACCTGCTGGTTGTTGGCAGCCCACTTTCGCAAAGGAAATCCGCCCGCCATGCAGAGACTCTGTAGTTCCTGTTGGAGTTTGATGGCATCCGCCAGGCTGTCAGCACCGGTGACCACGTCGTCGACGTAACAGTCTTGTCGCAGCGCCCTGACTCCGCGTGGATATCGTGCCTCTTCGTCTGCAGCAAGTTGGTGAAGCGTCCTGATGGCGAGGAAGGGTGCGCACGCCAGTCCGTAGGTCACGGTCTTCAACTCGTACTCGCGGATGTTGTCTGAGCTGTTGTGGCGCCACAGGATGGTTTGCAGGCGACAATCCTCCGGATGAACAAGAATTTGTCGGTACATTTTCTCGATGTCCGTGACGAAAACGTACCGATGCCAACGCCAACGGAGTAAGACGTCAGCGAGTGCTGGCAAGAGGTTAGCTCCAGTGAGGAGGTGCGAGTTCAGCGACTCTCCGGACCGTGTGCGTTGGGAGCCGTTGAACACAACCCTGAGCTTCGTGGTCGTGCTCGACTCCTTGAGGACCCCGTGATGCGGTAAGTAGCACCTGGGACCAGAACCTGTCGTAAACGTACTAACCTTCTCCATGTGTTGCAGGTTTTCGTATTCATCCATGAAGTCTCGATAGAGATCACCAAACCGAGCATCACGGGCTCCCTTCCGCTCCATCGCTTCCAGGAGGCGCTCTGCAGGTCGACGAGTCTCGCTGAGTGATGTCGGCGGTGAGGCAAATGGCAGCCTTACCACGTATCTTCCACTGGATGTGCGTGTGACTGTGCGCACATAGAGGTCCTCGCATCTGGCTTCGTCGGCGGTGAGCACGATCCCAGCTGCTGGCTCGCGTTCCTGCTCCCAGAATCGTCGCACCAGGTCAGCAAGGTCGTTGTCGGCGGTGCACTGAAACGTGCGGCGATGTCCGTCGGTGACTGCTGAGTCGTAGCCTCCGGACAGGATCCATCCCAAGCTGGTCTGCTGGGCGATCGGCATGCGTGTGTCGCCCTTGCGAAGGCCTTCCTCAAGAATTAACGAGTAGACCTCTGCACCAAGAAGTAGCTCCGCAGGGTCGTCATCCAGGTACCGCGGGTCGGCCAACCGGAGTCCTTGGATGTGAGGCCAGCTGCAATTCTCGCGTTGAGCGGTGCCTTGTTGTAGTGAGATGCGAGGCAACACAAAGGCGACCACGCGAAGCTCGGCGTTGGTCACGTCGGATGTGATGTCCAGGGTGACCTTGCCACGAGCCGATCCAGAGCGAGTCCCTCCGATGCCAAAGATGGACAGATTCGTCGAAGCTCGAGGAAGACGAAGACGTTGAGCCAGCGCTTCAGAGATGATGGACACCTCGGAGCACTGGTCGATCAAGACTCGAACCTCGTGTGGTGATCCGTAGCGGTCCGCGACCTTGACGCGGGCAGTTGCAAGAAGGACGGCCTTGTGACTCTCACACTGCCGTGAGGTGGCCAGTGTGGTGGCAAGTGAAGTGGCCTCAGCGGACGGTGATGACGTGGATGCCCCGTGCAGCATGGTGTGGTGTCGTGCGTTGCAAGTGAGGCAATTCTTCTTCGATTGACACCGTGACAAGAAGTGATTGCCCAGGCAGTTGAAGCACAGTCGGTTGGTCTCCACGAATGTTTTCCGTTCGACCGCGGTCTTGGCCTTGAACTCCTTGCAGGTCATCAGTGTATGTTTTTCACGACACAGTGCACACTAAGGCGAATCTGTGCCTTGATGTCTGGTGACGTGCGCTTTGGCGAATCGCGATGCCTCTCCAGGTCCTTTTGTGACACTCCTCGGTCGTGCAGCGTTGAGGGTCAATACCCGTCGACTAATAAAGTCGAGAAGTGCCTCGTTCTGTGGTGGTTCGGTGGAGTCTGACGTGGCTGACTCCCATTTGAGACGAGTGCGGGCGTCGAACAATTCGATGACCAGGTGATTGAACAGGTCCATCCCGTGCGAGTTGATAGGACGTCCAATACTCTCCTGTGCATTGATGGCGGCGGTGACAGCGTTGTGGATGCGGCTCAGCTCCTCGGCGGTATCTCCCTTCATCTTTGGCACGGCGGTAAACGTGGCAAAGTTGGAGCGGATTAATTCTCTTTTGTTGTCGTAATGCTTGTTCAAGATTGCCCAAGCGCGATCGTAATTGTCACTTGTGACAGGTAGTGATCTTATCAATTTTTCAGCCTGACCTGTCAAACACGAGCGGAGGTGGTGAAGACGCTCGATGTTTGAGATGGAATTGCTGCTCACAACGGACAGGAAGAGATCACGAAATGACGGCCAATCAGCGTAGGCGCCAGAAAACGGCGGCAACTTGATGCGCGGCAGCGACGACTTTGATGCGACGTCGACGGATGGAGATACGTTTGGCTTCCGGAAATGTTCAGCGTAGCCATCCAGGATACTGCGTTGTGCCACGTAAAGATTTTCAGTATTTCCATGCAACTCCGACTTGAAGTATTCGCTGTCACTAAACTTCTCTTTCAGAGCCGCGCGAATGAGATCATGCTGGGCCTCAAATTTCGTCCACAGCTGATCTAGGATCCTGATGCGCGTAGATACGGCACTGGCGGTGATGTTGGTCGTGCCCAGCTTCTTCAAGTATTCCACGGAGCGTGAAATACGGACTTGGACCTCACGTTGGCAATCGATCAAGGTGTTCACATCCATGTCGAACTACGAGCTCACTGACCGCACCAAGAGACACGTTCACAAACTTGCGGATGCCGGCACGATGGATCCGGCTCGAAGGACCAAAAATATGTTCGCGAACGCGCTGCGTGAGAGAGGATCGCGCGACACAATAGGATAAGTCACCCTTTCTTTTGTATTAAAAAAAGTTTAATTTCAATACACACTTAATTACAAATTACTTGAACAAGACTTATAACATTTAAATATTTCAGTGAAAGTATAATCGAGAACAAAGTGCGGAATAAGCGGCGGTCGTCAACGAGATTTTAGCGGATCAAAATAATATGCGGTTTTGCGTTATGCGGTCACTGCGGAAAGCGATAAGGCCCCGATTTCGGGCGCGAGCTCTCTCTTATGGGTTTCCGAAGAAAACCCACTTTTTCGGAAAGCGTCAATTATTGCGAGCAATTTGAATTGTGCTCGAGGTGACTCGAAGGCACAACTCATTATTGGCCGCTTTTCTAAGATGCGCAACGAACTCGCGTTTTGCCATGCGCGCGCGACCGCTCGCTATTTCTAATTGGTGATCGAGGCCGCGTGGCAATTTTGCGCATGCTTGTACCGCGAAAAGTATCCAGTAAAACGGTTGCGAAACTGCTAATTGTTTGTGTGTAAAGAATGTTTTTTAGATGACAGGTTTAATTTATGACAAGTTTTTTACCGTGACAAACATACAAAACGACCGTGACTTTTGTTATTGACGCGGATGGAAAATTCTAGAATTTACAAAAGTTTTACTTAACATCTCAAACACTTATAATAAAATCGTGGATGTGACAATAAAATTGTTCTATCCACTAGACCGTATATAGTTCCCCGCTTTTGACAAAATGGATGCTGAGACAAGAAATGTAAATATCTCCCCGAGAATGTCGGCTTGTGATACCAATCAGTAATTATCTTGTTGTTTTCTAAAATTAATGTCAAATCTAAAAAGTTTATTTTATTATTATCGTCAGTTTCCAGAGTGAATTGGAGTCTATTATGATAAGAATTAAAAATCATAAGTGTGTGGTCAATTAAAGTCAATGGAACAGTCAATACAATGTCGTCAACATATCTAAAGTAAATCGGGGGTGTGAATTTTAACAATTGTAATGATTTATTCTCAAGATCTTGTAAAACTAGATCTGCAATCACTGATGAGAGAGGAGAACCCATGGGCATTCCAAAGGTTTGGCGGTAGATAACGTTATTAAAAATAAAAAAGGTAGAATTTAAAACTATGCCTATTCCATTTAAAAATTCTGATTTTGATAAGTCACAATTCTTTGAAATAAATTCCCATGTAGAGGAAATACTTTCAAGAGCCTAATCAATAGGGACGTTAGTGAATAGCGAGACAACATCTAACGAGATTAAATTAAATTCATTATCAATGTGAATCTGTGACAATTTTTTCACTAGTTCGAAACCGTTGTCAACACGACCTTCAGGCACTGGGAGGCTTTTAACTATAATCTTGTGCACGAAAGTCGCCAAGTTATACAGAGTAGTGTCAACCTATGACACTATTAATCTGAACGGACAGTTTTCTTTATGGACTTTAGGCAAGCCATATGCCTTGGGGAGAGTTCCATCAGTAAACAACAAAAGTCTGTATTCATTAGTTGAAATAAACTTAGAATTTTTCCAACAAACTAACAAGTCATGAAGACTGTTTATCAATTTTCTAGTAGGGTCTTTTTTGACCATGTTCGAAATTGAGAAGAAATTAATATAATTATTTCAGTCTGTATTTTTCTGTCTAAAAAATCGATATTTTCTTCCGATGAATATGCGAAAAAACCGCGGAAAAAAGGCTCGCCCGATATAAACAAGTAGGCGATAAATCAGGATTATTTTAACAAGCTGTCAATAACAACAACATTGCTTAACCGAAAGCAACGATCACTGCATTGATTATCGATGTAATAGACATGCGCCGTTCGATCACGTGGCTTCCGAAAGCCAATTGATCTCGCTATCGAGCATTTCGCGCATGTCAGGTGCGTGCTTGTGTCGCGTAAATTACGGGGCCGCCAATAAAGACAGGCGCCCTTGCGTCACCTTCGAACATTTTTAAATAACCGAAATTAATTGGTGAAGGAAAAATTAGTGGGGCTTCAGTACCGCACCGATAAAAGAAGCGCCCACCAAAATTGGGCGGCTAGTCTCTCGAGTCTTAGTACCGCAATTATTACCGCAATTATTACCGCAATTATTACCGCAATTATTACCGCAATTATTACCGCAATTGTTACAGCAATTATTACCGCACACTCACTTGGAAATCGAACTCGACTTATCTATTGGAACTTTGTAAAATCACTGTATTGTTTAAATTGTGAAAGTAAATTCTGTGTTAATTATTAAAAGGTGAATAATTTCTTTCGGCCTTCAATTACGCGCTCTCCTTCACGCGTTCGCGCAAACATATTTTTGGTCCTTCAAGCCGGATCTTTTATCAGGTCGTCGCGCCGGCAGGCGTGTGAACATTCTTGAAGACGAGAGTGAAGTGCCTGAAAAAGAAATACAGTAAGTGTCACATCATGGATGCCGCTATATTGTTAGATAGTCAGCGTGAGATCCAAGTTCGAATCTCACGCTCGGTCAAATACCTGAAGAAGATGGGCGCTCCTAACATCACATCCAGTGCCGTCACTACCCGCATCAGACTTCTTGATCAAGCCTGGGATAAGTTCGTCATCCAGCACGATCAGCTGCGTATTGCCTTGAAAGATAAGTTCAGAGAAAGTGATTACGTTACTTCAGGACTCCATGATTTGACTGAAAATACGTACGTACAGCAAAGGAGCATCCTGGACGGTTACGCTGAACGCATTTGGTCAGCCTCGAAAACCGTCAAGCTAAACGAAGCCGCTCCTCGAACCGCATTACCTCGAGTCAGGATTCCGCAGTTTTCGGGAGCTTACTCCGAGTGGCCAACCTTCCGAGATCTCTTCCTGTCTGTCGTCGGTGATAACGCCACCATCTCTAACATCGAACGCCTGCATCATCTTCGGTCGAGTTTGAACGGACAGGCTGAAAAATTGATAAGTTCATTACCGGTGACAGGAGACAACTACGAACGTGCATGGACGATACTGTGCAAACACTACGAAAACGAGAGAGAATTCATCCGATGCAACTTCGCCGCATTCACCGCCGTGCCGAGAATGAAGAACGGAACCGCTGACGAACTGCATCGCATCCACAACGCTGCCGTCACAGTCGTCAACGCACAGGAGAGTATAGGTCGTCCTATTGAATCTCACGGAATAGACCTCCTAAACTATCTTATCGTCGAGCAATTCGACGCACACACTCGAATAGAATGGGAAAATTCCATATCCGACTCCAACAAGGCACCACCGCACGAAACACTTTTGGAGTTCATGACGCGACGGATGTTCACACTTAACGCCGTGCATCCGAAGACTCTCAAGAAGAACTTCGGAGAGTTTTCAAGAACAGCAAAGACACATGTTGCGAAGCACGGAACTGACCTTCCACAATGCGCACTGTGCCATGAGAAGCACCATCTGATGACGTGTCGCGAATTTAAGACGAAATCCGCGGCAGATCGAAAGGCCTTTGTTGAGACGCACAGACTGTGTTTCAACTGCCTCGGAAATCATTATCTTACAAAATGTCAGTTGAAGAAGAACTGCTACACATGCAAGGCACGTCATCACACTTCACTGCACGACGCATACAGCACGGTCACCGCACACACACCAGAAGCCACTTCACTCGCCGCACTGCACAAAGCCAAGGAGCAGAAGGCTGTACTCCTCGCCACTGCTCGGGTGAACGTAGCCGATCGCCATGGAGCACCGCACGACGTCCGAGCACTGATCGATCAGGGATCAGAGGTGTCGATCGTTTCTGAAGCACTGGTGCAACGACTGAACCTGCCTCGATCACGCACTGACATGGCCATCTTTGGGATCGGAGGCGCACGACCAGGATCAACGCGTGGCAAGATCACGCTGCACCTCACTTCGGACATCACGAACGCCCGGCTCTCCGTGATAGCGTTTATACTGCCACGCCTGTCACTTCTTCAAGGCTCCACGTCCAGCACACCAGAAGATTGGCCGCATATTCGAGGACTCTAACTGGCGGATCCTCAATTTTGCGAGAACGATCCAGCCGAGCTACTCCTGGGAGCGGAGGTGTGCTCCTTAATTCTTGAAGAGGGTCTACGCAAGGGTGGACCTCAGATGCCAATCGCGCAGAAGACATCGCTAGAATGGATCCTCTCTGGAGGCTCCGACGTTGCATCCGCAGAAGAGCACCGTCGCACATTCCAGTGCATTGCCGATCACGAGCTACTCGAGCTGGTGCAGCAGTTTTGGGAACAGGAACGGGAGCCCAACGCAGTCACGACACTCTCCGCCGAAGAGCAGCAATGCGAGGAATTCTTCGTGCACACGCACACTCGCACCTCTTCAGGACGATACGTGGTGAAGCTGCCGTTCTCCTCACCAATCACTGCACTCCGCGAAACCCGCAAACCAGCCGAGCGGCTTCTCACAACGATGGAGAGACGATGCGTCCAGGATCCTCGATTCGGCAATCTGTATCGCAGCTTCATGACAGAATACGAAGACCTGAAACATATGACGCTGGTGACATGCTCCACAACTAGCAATCAGTCAACGTACTTACCACATCATGGAGTACTCAAAGAGTCCAGTGCCACGACGAAGCTGAGGGTCGTGTTCAATGGGTCGCAGCGAACGCGAACTGGAGACTCTTTAAACGCACACCTCATGACTGGAGCAAATCTTCTGCCAGCTCTTCCTGACGTACTACTCCGATGGCGTCAACACCAGTATGTCTTCGTTGCTGATATAGAGAAAATGTATCGGCAGATACTCGTGCATCCGGATGACTGCAGATTCCAAACGATCCTGTGGCGTCATTCAACTGATGATGAAGTGCGAGAGTACCAGCTGAGAACGGTCACCTACGGTCTGGCGTGTGCTCCGTTTCTCGCCATACGGACACTCCGTCAGCTCGCAACGGACGAAGAAGAGCAGTTTCCTCGTGGCGCCGTAGCTCTGCGTCGAGATTGTTATGTCGACGATGTGGTCACCGGCTCAAATACGCTGAACGATGCGATCGCACTCCAGATGGAAATTCGCAACCTCTGCTTGGCGGGCGGATTTCCGTTGAAGAAGTGGGCAGCCAACGACGAGAGGATCCTGACTGGAGTACCAAGCGATCATCGTTTGCAGCAATTGCCGCCAGCCTGGGTTGGAGAGAGCCACTCCACGCTAGGACTCCGCTGGCACCCGCAACAAGACCAGTTCTCCTTCGTGTTTCATCCGCACGCTGCCATCAACCACACGAAGAGAACGGTTTTATCCGAAACCGCACGGCTCTTCGATCCATTGTGGTGGCTCGCTCCAGTCGTGATTCGAGCAAAAATTCTCATTCAATCCACGTGGCTGCAAGGATTGGACTGGGACACCCCGCTGCCGCCATCCGACGCTCGAGAGTGGCAACGTCTTCTAGAAGAACTCCATCTTCTAGATCAGGTGCGAATAAAACGCTGGCTCGGGACCGGAGCAGATAAGACCTCGCTGCAGCTTCATGGCTTCGCCGATGCATCCGAACGAGGATATGCAGCCGCAGTATACATCCGCATCACTGAAAGGAACGAAACGTCAGTAAGGTTATTGATGGTCAAAAGCAAGGTAGCACCCGTCAAACAAGTGACCTTGCCGAGGCTGGAGTTGTGCGCCGCCACGCTACTCACCAATTTGACGCGACATATCAAACAAACGCTCGACCTGGCAACATCAGACACGTACTTATGGTCGGATTCAACAGTGACCCTCCAATGGATTCGCGGTCACTCCTCACGCTGGAAGACTTTCGTCGCCAATCGAGTCGCTCACATCCAGACGCAGCTGCCTAATGCACAATGGAGACACGTAGCTGGTCGCGACAACCCTGCGGACTGTGCATCAAGGGGTATTAATCCAAGCGAACTAATCAATCACGCTTTATGGTGAACAGGACCTACCTGGTTGTCACAGCACGAATCGGCCTGGCCAAATTCCGTGATGGAGATCCGAGGAGACGACGTGCCAGAAAGGAAAGCCACGAGCCTGATGACTGTCAACCGGGTCATCGTCGAGCCAGAAATCCTGCTCCGCTTCTCATCTCTGCATCGCCTGCTACGGATATCCGCATGGTGCCGTCGCTGGCTGCGCGCTTCTGAGCCGACTCACACCGCTGGACTAACGTTGAGTCCTGAGGAACTCGACATGGCACTCTTTCGTTGGCTTCGAGAAGTGCAGACACTGCACTTCACGGACGAGATCACCGCAGTCGCAGCTGGACGCTCCGTCGCACCACGCAGCACATTAGTCAAGCTGACTCCGTTCCTCGACGACCATGGTGTTCTGAGAATGGGAGGTCGGCTTAAGCACGCCCTGCTGACACAAGATGAGAGGCACCCGATGATCATTCCAACCTCGTCGTGGCTGACTCGTCTGCTGGTGGAATCCTGTCACCGTCGGACGCTGCATGGCGGAGTGCAACTTACCCTGGGGCTGCTTCGACTGCGCTTCTGGATTCCACGAGGACGCACAGTTGTGAAACAGCAACTACATTGCTGCGTCACCTGCACAAGATGGCGAGCAACGACGCTGCAGCCACCGATGGGTAATCTACCCCGCGATCGGGTCACTCCGACTCGGCCATTTCTGCGCACTGGAGTGGACTATGCAGGACCCATCCTCATCCGGACGAGCAAGGGACGAGGACACCGCGCCTATAAGGGCTATATCGCAGTATTCATCTGTTTTTGGTCCAAAGCCATCCACCTCAAACTTGTCTCGGATTACTCTTCAGAGGCCTTCATCGCCGCTTTACGTCGCTTTATCTCACGTCGAGGTCTCTGTACGGACATATATAGCGACTGTGGAACGACCTTCATCGGGGCTGACCGCACTTTACGGGAACTCTTCGTCGCTGCATCCACAGAGGGTCGTGGAATCGCACGCGTAGCTGCTAAACATGGCATACGGTGGCACTTTAATCCACCAGCAGCTCCGCACTTCGGCGGATTGTGGGAGGCAGCCGTCAAATCCGCTAAGTATCACTTACGGAGGGTGATAGGTGAAACCACTCTCACCTTTAAGGAACTGACCACTCTCCTCACACAAATTGAGGCCTGTTTAAATTCTCGTCCATTACAGGCACTCTCTGACGATCCAGACGATATTACAGCACTGACTCCGGGCCACTTCCTGACGGCGCGCCGCTTCTCGCCATCCCGGAGCCAGTACAGGAGGACACCAGTGGATCCGCAGCATCACGATGGCATCATCTCCAGGCGATGCGAGATCACTTTTGGCAAAGATGGTCGGGAGAGTACATCCATGGACTCATCTCACGACCTAAATGGTTGAAGGTCGATACCACACTTCACATCGGAGCACTCTGCCTTGTGCGCTCCGAGATTTCGCCTCCCAAACCGATGGCCTCTCGCCCGGATCACAAAACTGCATCCCGGCGACGACGGGATCGTACGCACGCGTGGTCACCGTTCGAACCGCGACCTCCGAGCTCGTGCGTCCGCTCGTAAAATCGTCTTACTTCCCGACTTCACAACGGACGTAACGACACGCAACGCATAGACAGAAATACACGACACATCACATACGCACTGTAACCACTGTTCACATTCACACGCATTATTTCACATCGAAACCGCGTGTCACTATTCTCAGCTGATCGCACCACACTGTCAACACGTGTTCATCGTTTCAGCTGATCGAGCGACATTCCACGCGATAATCACTTGTATCTCGCCGCGCCGGCGCGCGCCTACCCCACTATCAATCGCGATCGAACATTCATAGCGACTTATTGTCAGCGGGTGACAAGGCGGGCGGGATGTTCGAAATTGAGAAGAAATTAATATAATTATTTCAGTCTGTATTTTTTCTGTCTAAAAATCGATATTTTTCTTCGATGAATATGCGAAAAAACCGCGGAAAAAAGGCTCGCCCGATATAAACAAGTAGGCGATAAATCAGGATTATTTTAACAAGCTGTCAATAACAACAACATTGCTTAACCGAAAGCAACGATCACTGCATTGATTATCGATGTAATAGACATGCGCCGTTCGATCACGTGGCTTCCGAAAGCCAATCGATCTCGCTATCGAGCATTTCGCGCATGTCAGGTGCGTGCTTGTGTCGCGTAAATTACGGGGCCGCCAATAAAGACAGGCGCCCTTGCGTCACCTTCGAACATTTTTAAATAACCGAAATTAATTGGTGAAGGAAATTAGTGGGGCTTCAGTACCGCACCGATAAAAGAAGCGCCCACCAAAATTGGGCGGCTAGTCTCTCGAGTCTCAGTACCGCAATTATTACCGCAATTATTACCGCAATTATTACCGCAATTATTACCGCAATTGTTACAGAAATTATTACCGCACACTCACTTGGAAATCGAACTCGACTTATCTATTGGAACTTTGTAAAATCACTGTATCGTTTAAATTGTGAAAGTAAATTCTGTGTTAATTATTAAAAGGTGAATAATTTCTTTCGGCCTTCAATTACGCGCTCTCCTTCACGCGTTCGCGCAAACAGACCAACGTTATGTATTATTATCTTTCAAAATCTTCAATACTTTGTATATATTTATCTTTATCCAA